ATTGCATCCTCGGTATGTGGAATCTGTGATGAGCGCCATTCAAAAACATTTTTCTGCAATGACATAAGGAACTAATGCAGTTAAATTTCAAAACTTCAGATGAAAATGGTGTCAAGGAGTTTGAATTTTTTATATTATGTTCAACTATACCCTCCAGGAAATAGCTATGCATGCTTGTAAAAAATCTTATCACTACTTCTCATTTAAGAGAACCTTATAAGTCATGTAATAATTAGTATGGTGATTAGACCGCATAGTTTTGATTATGAAACATTGTTAGTAATGCCATTTCAGATATAAAAAAATGCAGCTTAAATCATGCTTGTCTCCTACCCTGCAGAGCAGCTACAAAACTGTGATAAGATATTTAATAAGGATAACATGAAAGCCACACAGAAAAAAGGGTACCGAACTCCAGGACATTAATATATGCTACCTGACATGTTGTCAGATCTAACAACAATTTCCTGTCTTTCAGACAACAGTAAAATCCGGTTTGTTTCAGATAGCAAAATAGATCAGCCAACAGTATCCAAAGACAGTACCTCAGGGTGCCACTGGAGAGCAGTTACGGGATAGCGTCGTGCTTGAGCAGTGGAGACATAGACCTGAATCAGTTATTAGCAAATCAGAAACAAAAAAGCTCAAGTAGAATCTACACTACATTCCATATCATTTGGTGATAATCTCATAGATAAACCAAAGGGGGTAAAGGAATAGAATACATCTTGTACCTTGTTCTTTTTATCTGTACTAGTTGTCAATATCCTGAAAAAACTACATAAATCTTTATTTGCTTGAAGCCTTTCTGGTGATATGCCAAACTGTAGCATTAAAAAACAACTTTCAGCCTCATTGCAGCATTCAAAAAGTGACAAGTAAAGTTCCAAGAAAATACAGATAAAAACTGAAAGCCAAATGGAATATCTAACATAAGTAGAATCCATTCTAAGATCAACATGAATCAATCATCTTAAGCTTTTATGCTGTGATCAACTAATTATCTCTCCTCCATTACACCTCTGCATAGGCTTTATGCTGTGATCACTAATTATCTCTCCTCCATCACATCTCTACATAGGCTTTTATGCTGTCTTCACTAATAACTGGGAGCATGATTTGATATAAAAGTTAATCTACCAATAAGGTTCTTAAGTTTAGAAGACAATCATAAGGGTAGTTTGCTGGCCTTATGAGTACACTGCCAACATATCATCAGGAAAAAGAACTTGTCTGACATAGTTAGAAACAAAGTCAAGTTCATCTTTAAGTTAACTAATGATGCCAAATATTCGTTACGAATATAAATAATGTTGCCCCAAGAAACTGTAGTAGAGCGACAGCAGCTTGAATAAATTCTGCAGGTAATAACAGAGATATGGCGGTAATCCCAAGGTAGGTCAGTTGATAACAAAATGACTATTGATTTTGAAATCAGTACAGGAATCTTAGCATTTCCAAACTTTTCAGAACAGATACAAGCCGATTAGACATTAAAAGGGAAACAAGTATTTGTGACACTTCTAGTATAGAGAACCATTCTGGAGCAATCATGATCACAGGAAGTACGAGTATTATCTTGAAGTGATCACAATCTCCAGTGATGAAGACACAGAGAGAGAGAGAGAGAGAGAGAGAGAGAGTTAAATTTTGTACTGATAACAAATTATCTACTCCACTAAGGAAAACAAAGAGAGAGAGAGAGAGAGAGAGAGAGAGAGAGAGAGAGAGAGAGAGAGAGAGAGAGAAAGTAAATCTCTTACTGATCGCAAACAAATTACAAAAATGGCAGTGTGACAAAAGGAAAAAAGAAACCTATCATGTGAAGCGTACATGATGATTTTGCATCACAAGGCAATCTGTACTCATCTTCTTTATCAACACAGGGGGGAACCTGCAGGAAACAGTTGATAGCCAATTGTCTATCATCAAAATTAGAATTACCATAGATCTCTTCACATATTATAAAACTGCATTTTGACATAGTTGTTAAGAAACTATTAACGTATAATTTACATGAATGACTACATAGATTGCTTTAGTTATTTGCAAATGAGAGTTGTGACAGTTCATTCAATATAAACATAAAATATCTTACAGGCAGTAGCTGCCAAACTGCAGGCAGAACAATAGAAAAACAATGCCATCCCCACAGTGCTCATAACCTGCGCTACATGGACTTGGTTATGGATAAGTACCCCATACGTGTGTCTTAGTATGCAGTATGATTAAGGGCAATTTCTTGTTAATCTATAGTGCTTTTTAATAAATAGCAGTAATTATTCACACGCATATCAGACCAGTTTGAATACCACTAGGGAATCAGTCTTACAACCACCATCAATTGTTTGCTTTGTAACCATTGGAGAAACATAGGGAAAGAACAATGGACACTTCTTGCAGATCAGACTGAAATGCCAGGTTTCAATCTTGGTTGCTTTAAATAACCGCATGTTTGTTTTATCTGATAATTAGTAATTACTACCATAGCAAAAGACAAAGGACAATACAAACCCTTATAGTTTTAAAAGTTTGAAATATACACACTATTTGTCTTGTTTCCTATCAATCAGGCACCTATTAAAGATTTAGCCACTAAAGCCTTTAGAATAAGGGTAACTGAGATTTTCCCAAGTGGGATAAAAATGGAGGAAAGAGGGAAAAAGAGAAGGGCAAAATAGAATAATAGAGAACATGAAAGAATTTTAGAGAAAAATTTATACCTTCCAAAAACTGTTCTTTCCAATTTTATATTTTCCATGAATTGTACTGTAGAGGCTTGATTTGCTGCACTGAATTCCTCAAGAATGTTATTGTCCTATTACAGCCAAAGAAACCTCTTAAAATCAACCCATGAAAACAAAACTCGAGTAAAGTATTGAGATGAGCTGTTTGGTTCATGCACAGTAACGGGGGAATACAAATCCACAACACTATTTAAGAAAGCGGGAATTTATCTCTCACATATTGTATTTTGGTCATGGTTGCTTTAGAAAAATATACTAGCTTAGATGTCAAGTACTGTGCAATTTAGGTTCAGAAGTAATTACACAATATCAGTAAGGCATGAGATTATATTTAAGTACAGTTAAGTAAAATATCAATTGTGATATTAGGCTTTTATAAAAATAAATTAGACCTCATTAGACAAAATAAAACCAGAAAGAAAAGAAAATAAAACATCCAACCAACTACAATATATAATTCAATATTGATTACTGATCTAATCCGAATTAACAAATTGATTCCTCATCAAGGTATTATCCAATACAGTTTTCTATAGTTTACTGCAAGCCTGCCATGGAGTCTTACCCAAAAATACTACTATATTTTATTGGATAAACTTGCATACGTACAACAAAAATAAAGCATTTTCATAACCTGTTCATACATATTTGAGTTTCTGGATCTTAAGAAAGCCACAAGTACTAGGAGGTTAAAAATTATCCGACATGTATAGTAGAACTCTTCCTTACTTCCCATAGAAATCGTATTCCTCATTAGAGTTTGTTTGCTTGTCCAAATACTATCACAAGTGTCAATGCCACCAATTATGTTGAGTTAAACAGTTCAGACTTCTCAATTTAAGTGCCTTCTGATAAAGTTAAACCATCTCTATCTTCCCGTAGACCTTCATTACCTTGGAGATGATCATTGTTAAAAGTTCAAAACCCAAGCAGATGGCAAGAAGAGGGAAATGCTCACCCGCATCATTCTTCTCCAAGACTTTCTGCAATATCAGGAAATCATTTTCAACAATTGTTGATGACAAACAACTTCGGACATGCTTAAACAAAAAAACAACTCTTCAGAAGATGATTATTAGCAGAATATGTTTTGGCATTAAACTAAACTAAACAAACAAACAAACAAACAAAAAGGGAAGATATCCTATTCAAAGTATAAAATAGGGAATTTGTTCATGCCAAGATTATTTTCCAGATTCCATGCTGGTTCCCCAATCACATGCAGGGGATTTTACACGTGCAGAAAAATGCAGCAGTGGTAGCATGACTAGACGCAAGTGTACCAATAGGAGAGAGTCACCTGGAATATTCCTTTGACAACCTCAAAGTAGAGACCATCCTTGACCCGTCCTCCAGTGAAGATAACGCCATTGACTAGATTAAGTTTCTGCATGAAGATATGCAATTAATTTGTCAAACTGCAAATGCCAAAATGACAGATTATAACATGCATTTTCAAGTCTTTATGATAGCACAGTAGTCTACGAGACATCTTCATGCTAATATATATACAACCAGCACTTAAATACACACAATAAAACACTTGTAAAGGTGAAAAAATGGAAGAAACCGAAGGCAATCTTGCAATTTACATACACATCAAAGGAGCAGCAACTGAAGCTAAAATAAGGAACTAAGTGGTTTTGGGAACTTGTGAAAAGACCAATCAGTCGATCAATCAACTATGGCTCAATCTCATACTTCTTGGGATCGGCTATATGAATCTCCTGTATCCACTCCCTCCATTCAGACACATTTCATACTAAATACTGATGTTTAGATGATTCATCATAGTTAAACTGTTTTTAGTTAGCTGCAACCCTCCTTATTATCTGTAAACTTGTGAAAGACCAATCTGTCAAACATTCAACTGTGTCTCAGCCCAAACTAGTTGAATCAGCTATAAGGATCTTTGTTTATTCACCGTAGTTAAGACTGTATTTACGTTGGTTACAATCCTCCTAATTAATCTGCTAACTCTTGAAAGATCAATCAGTCAACCAATATACTACAGCTCAACTCAAACTAGTTAAGTCAACTCCATGAATCCTTTGTATCCATTCAGACCCAATTCATACTAGATGCAGATGTTCAAATGGTTCATCATAGATAGAGTATTTTTACTTGGTTGCAACTTCCTTTGCTCCCTCCTTTCCAAAGAGAATGACACTATTTTTTTATTAGTCCGTTCAATATTTTCTAAATATGGAAGCAATTTAACTTGAACTCCGCATTTTACTCTCAATAACAGGCTTTTATAGTCACACAAATGATATGGCATATTTAAGACCACAAGTTTCAAAAGTCTTATAACCACACAAATGTTATGGCATATTTAAGACCACAAGTTTCAAAAGTCTTATAACCACACAAATGTTATGGCATATTTAAGACCATTTCCCTCCATTCAGACCCATTTCATACTAGATGCAGATGTTCAAACGGTTCGTCATAGTTAGAGTATTTTTACTTGGCTGCAACTTCCTTTACTCCCTCCTTTACAAAGAGAATGATACTATCTCTTTATTAGTCCGTTCCAAAAAAAGAATAACTTTTTCTAAATTTGGAAGCAATTTAACTTGAGCTCCGCATTTTACTCTCAATGACAAGCTTTTATAGTCACACAAATGATATGGCATATTTAAGACCACAAGTTTCAAAAGTCTTATAACCACACAAATATTATGGCATATTTAAGACCACAAGTTTCAAAAGTCTTACGCCCTCCATCACTTTGTTTGTCATAATTTCGCTCGACAAGAAATTTAAGAAAGAAAGGAAAGACTTTTAAAACTTGTAGTCTTGAATATACCATAACATTTATGTGGTTATAAGACTCTTGGAACTTGCGATCTTAAACATGTCATAACGTTTATATAGCTATAGAAGCTTCTCATGAAGTAAATATAAGAATGTATCATTCTTTTGGAACAAGCTAATAAGGAAATAGTGCCAAACAAAATGAAACAGAGCGAGTACTTTCTTTCTTAAACTCCGTGTCTTGTCAAACTAAGCCATATAAATTGAAAAGGAGGGAGTAATTTAAAAGTAGACTTATGAAAAGGACCAATGAGTCAATCAATCAACTACTCCTAAATCCCAAGCTTGTTATGATCACCTATACAAATCCTCAATACCTGATGGTAGCCTAGAAACCCGTGTTTTAGCCATAGTTTGCATTCTAATTGCTGCATTTTACATGTGTTTGAGCTTAAATGATGGTGAATTACACTTATTTACGTGTTTTATGCCTTGCGGAAAGTGATTCCGAGTTAAAAAGTTAATTTGGAGCTAAATCGAACAAGTTAGAGCTTTGAAGTCTGAGTAAAAGCGCAAAAATATTAAGTCGGGATCACGTTCGAGGGTCGAGGACCAAGTCCAGAGGTCAAAAAGTGGAAGAAACGATTTATTCTAAGAAAACAACACTGTCGCGCTGCATGGGGCGCCGCATGGCGCGTCACGGCTGTGTAAAAGTGGCTACCTGTCAGAATTGAACTCTCTGAATATCCTCACAAGCGCGCTTGTACAAGTTTCTTAGAGTTATTTCCTGTTTCGGCTAGGAAAGGGTAGTTTCGTCCGGACCCGTTCCTAGAGGGTATAAATACACCAAAAATACTTTTTTGAAGGGACTTTTGACCTACGAAAGATTGGAGAAGCAACTAAGGCAAGAAGACACAAGAATTCGTCAAGATTTCAACCAACGATCGGTGCAATACGGGAGTTTGTATCGAACCATTAGCATTGATGTTTTTTATGTTTTTAAATCTTACTGAGATACTTTTTCCATTGCTATAAAGTAATTTCCATTAGGGTGTTGACAGATACGGTGTTTTGATAACTTGATAGGGATTCGATTCTTGATCATTGTTGGAATTAATTGATGGAGTTTTAATTCGTATTGTGAAGTTATTTCTTATTTTGCTTAATCGAAAGAGGGGCTTGATATTGAATTTCTTTACATCTTATGCTCTAGTTTAAATTCGTGATTCAAATAGGTAATCGAAAGAGCCTCTTGAATTGTTAATCAATCTAGAAAATAGGGAAATTTTTGTGAGTAGTTACCCTTTATATCATAACCATCATTTTATTGGTTGCAATTGTTTACCGTACTTCAATTGGATTAATTACTGAATTTAACGTTTAATCGGAAGAGGAACATTAACTTCAAGTGTAATCTGATTATCTATTGAATTCGTGAGAGAACAACAACAACAACCCAGTATAATCCCACTAGTGGGGTCTGGGGAGGGTAGTGTGTACGCAGACCTTATCCCTACCATGGGGTAGAGAGGCTGTTTCCAAATGACCCTCGGCATCCTTCCCTCCAAGAACTCCCCACCTTGCTCTTGGGGTGACTCGAACTCACAACCTCTTGGTTGGAAGTGGAGGGTGCTTACCATCAGAGCAACCCATCCCGAGTCAATTATTGAATTCGTGAGAATCAACAATATTATAGAGTGAACTAACTCAAGAATTGTATCCCGAGTCAATTATCTTGTACCTGTCTAGTCAATTACCCTTATTTCTCTCATTGATATTTCTTTGTTGCTCGTTTGTTGTCTTTTGTGATCAACTGTTAATCACTTAATTTTTAGTAGTTAATCGTAATGGATAATCATAAAGTCAAGTGTTAATTTCCTGGATAGTAATTAACTAGAGATTATTCGAACAGTGTTTAAATCCAATCGTTGTGGAGAAGATAATTAAACTATACTATCTTTGACTAGCGAACAATAATTTTGTGTTGTGTTTTGCGCTAATCAGTACCAATTCCCTCTATTCATACCCATTTAATACCAGATGCCTATGTGTAATACTAACCATCTCATCTAAAAGCTTAAGTTGTTAACATTATTATTTACTTAATTAAGTATTACACGCCCTCACGTGTAGGCCTTGTTCTTGGGCCAAGCACGTGGACATTCTTTAGGGAAAAATGAAGCTAATTGCATCCATTAGCCAAAGAGTATATAAAATATGTATATTTTATATATATATNGGCTATTATTTTTTGGAGCAGCTAAAAATATACATTTATCATTTCTTTTTGATAGTTGGGTGGGGTGATGAGACTCGAAGTTTAAGCTGTCATAAAAAGCACGTTTTAATTAACGTAATAACGTACTCATTGATAAAATCTGATTTTCCAAAAATACGAAGTAAAGCTGAACTAAAGGAAGGAAAAAAAGTTATTTACTTGATTGAGAATTTCAGGAGGCTCAGTATAAATAAGAGGAATAACTCTAGCACCAGCCATTTCAGCAAACTTGACGTAAGAAGCTGCGATGTAGGAGACATCAGTGCCGTTATTGAGCCGCCCCGAAGCGCCGTCGCCGGGATGACTAACAATTCCGATGACCGGCCGGTAGTTAAGTGTCGGGTCGGGTCCAGGACAGCTAGGGAGATTCAATTGCGACTCGATTAGCTGCTGGGGTTTTACAGTAGCCATTAATTGGATGAGAGTTGTGAAAAACGAAATCCAAAAGTAGGTCCCCATTTGGATTGATAACAGTATGATAAATTGAATGATGTGATTTAGGAGGAGAATTTGGTTTTCACCTCTCCAAAGGACTCTGGTCTTTGAGTATCGAATACGAAACTTAGGATGATAAAGTGTAGGGAAAAGGTCCACATTTATCCGAGGAAATAGTTACTATAATTTTCATCTAAAAGGGTGTTTGGTCAAGGTTAGGAGCCGGTTAAACTAGCTTAGTTTAGTTTGTTTTCGTTAAACATTCAAATTACTTTTATAAGCTAAAATCCGTCATATATCGTAACTTGGTCACCCCAACTTATGTTTTTTAGCTTATTAGTTTTAATGTACCTGCATTGCACGTGTGTAGCGTCATTCAATTAAAACTATATACATTGATGTTAAAATAAACTATAATATTTGTATAAATGATGAAAGTAAATGTTATCACATTGACACAATAGTTGAATTCAATATCTTCTGACTATGCAAAGATGATGAAATTTAATTAATTGTATATTATTTTATAATTATACTTATCTTATAATATGAGATACAAATATGTTAAATTATGTATCACCCGATGTATCTTTAGGAATAGATTTTGTCTTCTATTATTTCATTCTCATTTCTTTAAGTTTATATTTTAACCAATTTAATTCTTAGAACTATAACTGAATTTATTTTATTTTCTGATTTCTTTCATCGTCAATATCTTTTTATGATAAATAATTTTTGTCTTCTAAGATTGTGTAAACTTGAAAAATTATTTTACCTATATGATAAATTTGGGAAGAATAAAATTGGATTATTTTTCTAATTAGTTAATTCAAATACTTAATTATTCCTTAAAAATATTTAAAACCATATATTAAATATTTACTTATAACAACTTTTATCCACACGAAAATATATTTTTAAATGATAAATATTCGAACTTTTGTACTTTATGTTTGTCGAAGTGTTAGAATAAATAACTTTTGTCAATCACTCTTTTTTCTCTTTTTCTTTGCTATTATTAAATATTTTTGTAATTATATATTTAATTATGTTTTAAAATCTACAATAATATTTATATCTAAGAAAATTATTAATCGATGAATAAAATTAATAGCCAGTAGACCAATCCCATAGACTACTTAGAGCACTTACAATTTAATTACGAATTGGGATAAACGACCAAGCAAAATGTTTCTTCTTTATTTTATTTTGTTTACATAATAATTGCTCACCTAAAATTTAACAGAATTAAACAATCTCATTTGAGCTTAAAATAGTACTACTACTGGTAAGACAAGGCAAAACTCTAGAATGTTTATCAACCTACCATCCTAATTTTCGATCCCACACCTTTTTATCGAGAGTCATGTCCTCGGTAAGCTAGAATGCTGGAATTCGAGCACACGAAAATTTCCAACATAATATGTTGTATTATGGAGTTCATGCGTATAAACTCATCATATTATGTTGGAACTCTAATACATTATGAAATTTCAGCACATTATGCTAGAATCTCATATGTAAAAAATTCGAACTCAATCATATTATGCTGAAATTTTTTCAGATTTTAAGGGTATTTTTGTTCATGTCACGACCCAATTTTACCTATAGGCCATGATGGCGCCCAATACTACAACTAGGCAAGCCAACCAGTAATTTAAACCCATATTCAATTCTTTTAAAATTAACCGAGTAATTAAACTCTTCTTACTTGCAGGAATTTAGACAATATGAAAAGATTTAGTAAATTAAAATAACCAAGAACAGAATTTAAATCCAAACATTCCACTAGTGTGTGTGTGTGTCAAGAAGTGGTGTCACAAGTGTATGAGCATCTAGTAGATTATACAAAAATTATAAATATTGTCTGGAATGAAATAGACAGAATAAAATTTTAAAAAGAGGCACACTAGTTGCTGCAGAATGGCTCAGAAAGCAACTCACCACTAAGCCTCCGGATAACGCGGGGCGCGCGCCGATAGGTCCAACGATAGCACCTGTCTCAGGTCCTGCACAAAAAGTGCAACAAGTGTAGCATGAGTACATAAACAACGTGTACCCAGTAAGTATCAAGCCTAATCTTGAAGAGGTAGAGAGAAGATGGCCGACTTTGACACTCACTGTGGGTCAATAATAATAATTGAAATAAAACTAGAATATTTAAATCAACACGATTCATAGAGTTAACAATAATTTTATTTAACAAACATAAACAATTAAACTCCTTCGAATGCAACAATTTCCAATTTATTAATTAAATTCACAAACTGCAATTTAAAATATCAAGGTATCGTGTAATTATTATTATTAGACACGATTTCTGCCAAGGTCGTACGGCCCGATCCAGAGTATCGTGTACACTGCCGAGGGACGTGCGGCGGGATCCATAGATGTATCTATAGTGCCGAGGCGTTCGACCTGCTCCACAAGAAAGGAGGACATTTTTTTATTACCTCCGGAATGAGAGTGTATTTATTATAAGGTTAATTCGAGAGGATGAATAATTTTTTTTAACAATTAATTAATTTAAGCAGAAAATTAAGCATATAAGATTTTCATCTTTTACTATCTTTCCCTAACAATTCATAATATATTATAAATAATTTAATTAAATAAAGAATACAATTTACACACATAATTCATGCTTTGAGTCCTAAACTACCCGGACTTTAGCATAGATAGTAGCTACGTACGGACTCTCGTCACCTCGTGCGTACGTAACCTCCACAATTAGAAATAATTATTAATTTAATCACCTATGGGGTAATTTTCCCCTCACAAGATTAGATAAGAGACTTACCTCAACTTGCTCCAATTTAATCCACTAATATGCCTTTTCCTCGATTATCCAACTCTTTATGGCTCGAATCTAGCCAAAATAATTCGATACAATTACTAAAAATTATAGGAATCAATTTCATAAGAAAATACTACATTTTTCAAAAAGAAATCCAAAATTAACTCAAAAATCGTCCGTGGGGCCCACGCCTTGGAATCCGGCGAAAGTTACGAAATATGAACGCACACTCAATCACGAGTCTATCCATACCAAAATTACTAAATTCCGATAACAATTCGGCCCTCAAATTCTCAAATCTAACCAAGAGAGTTTTCCAAACTTTTCCAACTTAATTCTCCAATTAAATGATAAAAACAATAATGGATTCGGGTAATTTAACGAATATTGAGTTAAGAACACTTACCCCGTTATTTTCTCTTAAAATTTCCCAAAAATCGCCTCAATCCGAGCTCCAAATCGGTAAAAATAAAAAATGGGATGAAGTCCCATTTTCATAACTTAAACTCTCTGCCCAGTGATTTCTTCTACGCGATTGCGAACTTCTTCACGCGATCGCGAAGAACAATTTCAACACTGCCCAAAATTAACTCTACGTGATCGCAGAAAGTCCCACGCGATCGCGAAACACTGACTCCGTAAACCTACGCGATCGCGAACCTCCTCACGCGATCGCGAAGCATTAAGCACGCGGCCCAGATCCTCTCTCCGTTCCTCTTTGCGAATGCGGCCTTAGCTATGCGTTCGCATAACACAGCTCGCCTAACCTACGCAATCGCGGACGTGCCCACGCGATCGCATAGAATAAATTTCCAACTGCCCAAATTAAGCCTACGCGATCGCAACCTCATTCACGCGATCGCGTAGAACAAAGTCACCTCTGCTCAAATTACCCTACGAGATCACAGACGAACTTACGCGATCGCGTATAAGGAAAATAAGAAGAAAATACCATTAGCTATCAGTTATCTCCCAAAGGCCAAAAATGCTCTGTTAGCCGTCCAAAACTCACCCGAGCCCCTAGGGATCTCAACCAAATATACCAACAAGTCCCAAAATATCATACGAACTTAGTCGAACCCTCAAATCACATCAAATAATGCTAAAACCACGAATCATCCTCCAATTCAAGCTTAATGAAACTTAAAATTTCCAACTTCTACATTTGGTACCGAAACCTATCAAATCAATTCCGATTGACCTCTGCAAATAAGTCATAAATGACATAACGGAGCTATAAAAAATTTTGAAACTGGATTCTGACCCCGATATCAAAAAGTCAACTCCCCGGTCAAACTTCCAAACATAAATTCTTGTTTTAGCCATTTCAAGCCTAATTTAACTACGGACTTCCAAATAAAATTTCGAACACGCTCCTAAGTCCAAAATTACCATACGGAGCTATTGGAACCGTCAAATCCCGATTCCGGGGTCATTTTTCTCAAAATGTTGACCGAAGTCAACTTAGTATTTTTAAGGCCAACTTAAGGAACCAAGTGTTCTGATTTCAACCCGAACACTTTCAAATCCCGAACCAACCATCCCCGCAAGTCATAAATTAATAAAAGCACATACATGGAGTTTTATTTAGGAAAATGGAGTTCTAAAAATCAAAATAACCGGTTGGGTCATTACATTCTCCACCTCTTAAACAAACGTTCGTCCTCGAACGAGTTTAGAATTGTACCTGGAGTGCTGAATAAGTGTGGATATCTGCTATGCATGTTTTCCTCGGCCTCCCAAGTCACTTCCTCGACTGGTTGGCCCCTCTATTGAACTTTTACTGCAGAAATTCTCTTGGACCTTAACTGGCGAACCTGTTTATCAACAATGGCAACTGGTTCTTCTTCATAGCCCAAACTATTATCTAGTTGAACTGTGCTGAAGTCTAACACATGTGATAGGTCGGCATGATACTTTCGAACCATAGATACATGGAAAACCGGATGAACTCCTGATAAACTGGGAGGCAGTGTAAGCTCATAAGCAACCTCCCCTACTCGTCTCAACACCTCAAATGGGCATATAAACCTTGGGCTCAACTTGACCCTTTTTCCCAAATCTCATGATTCCTTTCATCAACGAAACTTTCAAGAGAACTTTTTCACCTACCATAAAAGATAAGTCACGCGCTTTCTGATCCGCGTAACTCTTCTGTCTGGACTGTGCTGTACGAAGTCACTCCTAAATCAACTTTACCTTTTCCAAAGAGTCCTTCACCAAATCAGTACCATATAACTTAGCCTCACCGGGCTCAAACAATCCGATGGGCGAACGACATCGCCGACCATATAAAGCCTCAAATGGAGCCATCTCGATGCTGGATTGGTAACTGTTATTATAAGCAAACTTG